ACTTAAATTGGTGGACCCACTATTCTAGACCATTAGATTAGATCTATTTAGAAAAGTCCCAGCTTCATCGAAATTATTTACCAGAAAAATTCAAAAATTAATGTACACACCGGATATAAACCTTCCGTATTGTTCTCTTAAAAAAACCAAACACACGTGCGTACGTACAAAGATTAAAAAAAAATCAAAAAACCATATGTATGCCGTAAGAACAATACAGTCTTTCGAATATAGTGTAGTACGTATTGTGTATGCCTTTCTCTGTCTTTTATTTATCAACGAACAGCAAGTACATACTTAAGACTTATCTATCTATCCACGGTCTTTAAAATAGGATTTCCTATATTATAAAATAAAATTTATTACTCTACAAATATGCACGGTTAAACTAGATTAATATAAAGTACCAAATCAACTGTATTTAAATGTTTATCTTTTAAATTATTTCTCAAATATATATCTAACTTATAATCCTTTGTCTTTCTTTAATTAAATAAAATACTAATCACTTATAATAGTTATATGGAACTGCTAAATTCATTACGACACATGGTGCCGACATATAATACGTAATGTGATAATTATTTTTCAAATAATTTAGCTAACATATAATAACTAATGTCATGATCATTTTTAAATTAATTTCACATGACAAAAATGATCAACTTGGTGTCAAATTCGCTTGACAAATATATAACACTAATTCAAATCTACATGTAGAAAAAGTGAAACAACATTGTGGTTTACAATCAGATTTGATTTTATTTTAATTTATGTGATATTAAGATTCTATTTTTTTTAAAAAAAATAGAACTATTTGATGGGAATTTCCAGGCAATGACCTTGCTATATTACGACCCCTTAATCCATCAGGAGAATTACGGTCATATATGGTTTTTCTTTGCGAAATTGGTTTGGTAACAAATGAAAAATCATTTGCATCAAACTATTCATCATATATTTTTTATAGTTTAGAAATTCTAATATATCAAACATAATTGATAATGTATGTCATACACCCCACTGAAGTAACTATAAATGCACTCCAACAAATTAGTTACTTTAAATAATTTTGGAAAATATATTCTTAGAATAAGTAAAGATGTCGCATGTAATTATGAACAATACATGAATGAAAACAAACCGAAGCTAAACTATATATCTTATTCAAAATATAAAGAACAATATGGTACTCCTAGATGTCACGGTTGTATGTCTGTTTAGTTTTTTTTTATCAACATTGCTCATCTGAAAAGAGAATATTGTATCTACACAATAAAAAAAATAAGCATTACTGATTAATACCATGCATAATTTTGTCTACACAAAACTTTGAAAAAATTCACTAGGGAAATATTTTCATCACCTACATTCCCTCTTTTTCTCCCATAAAGGGCACCAAGCATGCTGTGCTACCACAAGTGTAGCAAGGGTCATACATATGGTTGAGTTGAAGCCACCCCAGCAAAGGCCGCTATTGACAATACTGCATAACTTTGTACTTACTGATGCAATAATATATGAGGGTGCTAATAGTGAACTAGACATTAAAATTACGCTTCATGCTGGCATTGCGGGGCACGACTATGTCGACTCAGGACCTATGTTTAAAGGCAGTGGAGAAATAAAGCCTCGACGGATACGGTCAGCTTCAACCATTAAAGGGGACATTCATATCTGATTTTAACGGTCATCAAAATTAAAAAAAATCTTATAAGTTATAAGAAAAAAAATATGATCATCGGTTTACTTAAATTATTTAGAAAAAAAATAGAAAAATAAAGTCCCCAAAACCTCGTCCTCCCCGGCACATGCACAAAACATTGCTGGTCCCCTTCAACCTTGGCTCATGCTCTCCGCTCTCCATTCCTCCCCCTTCCTATGAATAATACTGAAAAGACCTTATTTTTAATATATACATAACATTTCTAATCTAATTGTTGATCTGTTAAATAATTAAACCAACAATTCTTTATCCATAATGCCTATAATTTTAATCTAAAATAAGACTTGTATAAAATAAAATAGAAAAGTAGAAAAAAAAAGTCAATAGGGATTGAATCAAATCAATTAAAGAGAATATAGTAATAAATTTCTAAAAAATAGAAATGCCATAACCATCCATCTAACGTGGTATTATGAGTTTCTCATATATTATTGCATATATAAGACATACTAAGGTAGTCGGACATAGTAGTACTTAGTTGGTTAAAAAGTTATATATGTGCTACTATCAACTTTAAATTTAGGACTCATGGTGCCTAGGTATTTTTTTTAAAAGAACACCATAAATCACATATATAAAAGGGAAAGGACGCGTACAATATATATATCTCCTATGTATTTATTGTCTCATTCTTTCAAGAAAATAAAGAAGATCATTGATAATTGCTTATAGTAATGAATTAAATATTATATAGTTCAAACCTTACAAATATCTTGTAAAAAAATATCTAAGCAATAGCGATGAAGAAAATTTATAAAGAAATACTCCCTCCATCCCAAATTATATCAACTATAATCAAACTCGGTAGCTTTTAACTAATAATCATACTAACTATATCTAAGTATTATGCATGTTACATCACTAGATTTATATTTTGAAGTACTTTTATGTAATGCTAATTTTATATTTGTTGGGATAGAATGGAATAAAGTACTGGTCAAAATATATTATTAAAACCTATGTAAAAAAAATATAGGTCTTGTAATTTGAGACAGAAGGAGTCTTTTTTTTCAAGCATATCAGGTATCGTCCGTTTGATACTCCATCATCCGATTGATATTCCCAGTGTAACCTACTTTACATGCCCGCGCGAATGCGCGGGCTACCTTTCTAGTTATTATAAAAGAATCCACAGAGTTTTGATTGGCAGTTCCGATGTAATCCAAAAGTCACCTGCGGACTCACACGATACTCGACATCCCCATCACTCAATGACCGAGACGAACATATACCCGTCGACAAAATTCCACCGAAATTTCACGGAACCATCTAAAAATCCTGCGAATCCACCACCCACCGTCTCCGCTCCACGCGTGGCACCCGGCGAAACAAGAGCACCAGAACCCACGATTCTGTCCCATCTTTTCCCCTATTTTCTCCCCCCCTCCGGCACCTCTACACCTGTCCACCCCACCGCGACCCCATCAAACTCCGCGATTTCCCACGCAACACCAGCACACACAATGACACACACAACTATACGTGTCACCACGGCCCCGTTTGCCGCCATCGTCCGCCGAGGTCGCCCGCCGCGCCGCTTGACCGCGAGAAACCCCAACCCCCACGGCGCCCTCGCACATCCCGCGAATCCCACGGGAAAAAACCCGCGGTTTTCCCCCACCACCACCACGTCGATGCGTACGCATCGCGTACGTGCCGTCCCGGCATGAAAGCTCGTCTTTTGCTGGGTCCCTTCCCGCGCTGTGTGTGTGGAGGACGCGCGCGTGTAATCTGAGGGGAGCCACACGCGTTAGGTGGGCCGCTTTTGCCGGGGCAGAGGGCAGCCCAAGAGCCAACCCTCCACGGACCCGGAGCCCCAACGTGTCAACGTGTCACGCGACGCGCGGGAGGTCAAACGAAAGAGACACGAGTCGTCGTCTCGACGTCCACGCCAATTTCCGGCGCTGGCCAATCGCGGCGCGGCACGCACCCACCCACGTCTTCCCCACCATGCTTTTCTAATCCCCACCAAAAATATTAAACAAAACCGCAGCAACTTTAGATTGAAAAAAACGTTGATTATTCAGACATCGAAGACTAGTTGTTGTTGTGGAGTAGTAGTAATACTAGTAAAAGATTATTACTAATTGCTCATTCAGAGTACCCGCAATGGTAAAATAATATGCTATCTATAGAACTACATCTCAGCAATAGACTAGATTAATAGTAAACCACTTCAATGATATGTCTACATGGGTATCTATAGCTCTCTAATCCATTGTCTCTTTTTCTCTATAGACTATTTCCAGGTTAATAGATAGTTTTGCTCTCTCTCTTCATTTAATCTCTTCTAAGTAGGAAAATATGCTGACATGGATCTCTTGTATAGAGCCTATAAATAACCATTGTGAGTGCCCTTAACACAACTTCGCTTCGTCGAACCGAAGTCCAACCAAACAATTTCAACTTCATCTAAAAAATTAAAGCTAGCTAAAATACTCTCACAAAATTAACTAGAGAGATGTACTTAGGTTTAAACCTACAATAGAAAGTTATAAATCCACTTAATACATAGAGAATATACAAAAAATATAAAGAATGATGGTTCTCGTACAAAAGCTAACTTAATACGTGCTCTAAAACCAATATATTAATATATAAGTGAGAGAGAAGGATATGAGATGATAAATTGAAGCTAACCTTATTGTAAATATATTATATATACGTTAACTTTAAAATATGCTAATAGCTAACAGTGAGCTGTACTATTAAACTCGCTTCTTAAACAGATTCACAACTTTATTTGAAACCCAAATATTAGTAAAATTAAATTTAGATGTCTGAGTCTCTACCGAACGAGCTCCAAGTCCAACGGAGACACACACGTTGCAGTAAGGGTGGGCCCCACGGGCGTCCGGACCGTGCGTCGCGTGCGTCGCCGTCGAACACGGCACAGCGACGCGCGTGTCCAATGGACGGTCGCCACTGCATTATTCCGGGTGCGAATGCGATTAGATTAGGATTTGATCTCGCGATTAGATTGGGCGTGTACTCGTGGTAGTAGCATTACTACTAGTACGTGGCGACGACGAATGACAGCGATATATTTTTCTTTTTCTCTTTTGCGTTGGTGGTAGCTTCGTCACGTGTCCGGGCCTGGGTGGGTGGTCGCCGTTTGGTGTGGACGCGAAGGACACGTGTCGCGTGGCGGTGCGCGGCGGGGAGGCGGGACTCGTGGACGGCCCGGATGCGGCCGAACCCACCACCTGTCGCGGCATCGACGACTGATCGCGACGCGAGGCGTCCTTTATATTGCGGCCCCGCTTTCGTCTCCGCCTCTCTCATTCTCTCTCTCGTTGCTCCTGAGATCGTCTCGTCTCGTGGTGGTGGTGGTGGCCATTGCCGGAGCTTCCAAGGTGTTTGATGTCGATGGCGGAGGTGTGCTGTGATTCTGCGGTGGTGGTCGGGGCGGAGGCGGAGGCGAGGGCGAGGGCGCGCGCCGGGAGGCGGCGGCGGGCGGGAGTTGAGGGGGCAGGGAGGTGGAACGCCACGGCGACGGCTGCGGGTGTGGCGGCGGAGGAGGCCGCGACGAGGAAGCGGAGGGCGAGTGGTGGTGAGGCCGGGTTGGTGGTGGTGGCGAAGCGGCACGGGGCGGCGTCGGTCGCCGGGAGGAGGAGGGAGATGGAGGACGCCGTGTCGCTGCGCGAGGCGTTCGCCGCGCCGGCGAACGGGGAGGTTGCGGCGGCGAGGTGTGACTTCTACGGGGTGTTCGACGGGCACGGCTGCTCGCACGTGGCGGACGCGTGCAGGGAGCGGATGCACGAGCTCGTCGCGGAGGAGATGGGCGCCGGGTCACCGGCGGCGGCGGCGCGCGAGCCGGCGTCTTGGACGGAGACGATGGAGCGGAGCTTCGCGAGGATGGACGCCGAGGTGATCGCCGGCTGCCGAGCCGAGAGCGGCAGCTGCCGGTGCGAGGGGCAGAAGTGCGACCACGTGGGGTCCACCGCGGTGGTGGCCGTCGTGGAGGAGAGCCGCGTCGTCGTCGCCAACTGCGGCGACTCCCGCGCCGTGCTCTGCCGCGGCGGCGCGCCCGTGCAGCTATCCTCCGACCACAAGCCCGACCGCCCCGACGAGCTGGAGCGGATCGAGGCGGCCGGCGGCCGCGTCATCTTCTGGGAGGGCGCCCGTGTCCTCGGCGTCCTCGCCATGTCGCGCTCCATCGGCGACGCCTACCTGAAGCCCTACGTCACCGCCGTGCCGGAGGTGACGGTGACCGGCAGGTCGGACTTCGACGAGTGCCTCATCCTCGCCAGCGACGGCCTCTGGGACGTCGTCAGCAACGAGGCCGCGTGCGAGGTGGCGCAGTCGTGCCTCCGCCGCGGCAGGCAGCGGTGGTGCGCCGAGGCGGCGGCGGTGCTGACCAAGCTGGCCCTCGCTCGCCGCAGCTCCGACAACATCTCTGTCGTCGTCGTCGATCTCCGGCGAGGCAACGCCTTGTAGAGAGAGTGTCACCCAGCTGATGCTGTAGCATCAGTACTAGTATTGCAGATATTAGCTAAGCTAATGGTTCTACTAATCTTTTTTTTTCATTTCCCTTGTGTTAAAAATCATTTTTTTTCTCTTCTAATTTTCTCCCTGAATTAACCAAGTTCAGTGGAGCACATAGATCAGGTGATGGGGTTGTGCAACTGCTAGTTGGTGTAACCAGAATTTCATCTGGATACCAACTGAAATGAAATGAATATTAAGCAAGATTATTTGAGAAGGAAGTTTAAACCATGGGATTTTTGTTAGGCAAATCACCTTTTTACTTATTGAATTACTGTTTCTGCTGTGGTTCAGACTGTACCACTTGGGGCCTGTTCCCTTTGGTGCTATTTTCAACCTTACCAAATTTTGGTAAAGTTGCCAAAAAAAATGGCTATATTTAGTTTGCTGTCAAATTTTGGTAACTATATAAGTAATCCTGCGAAAACTTGCCATCCTATAGTTGCCAAAACTTGCCATCCTAATTAATTACTCTGCATCTTGCAATCATGCAATCTTGATGATATGATTGCACGATATTTTCCTCTGCCGTCCCGGACTCAAATTCAATTAAAATAACATCTCTGAATTGATTGGGGATACAAAGGACAAAATAAAATTCCAGGGTTCATCAGAGAAGCACCAAGGGAACATTATCCTCAATTTTCAATTATACTACTGTAATTTCTCATGTTTATGTCAGTGACAAGATTCAGAACATTCCAAACGAAATTTAACACATCAGATATTTTTTTCTGTGCGCGATTCGTCTGGAAGGAGAACATCTACTATAGTATCTAATACATCTTCTTCATCAGTCAGAAAATCTCAAATCACACACCAACACTTGCGCGGTCCAGCTAACCCTGCTCTGTGGCTGCCTGCCTCCTGTCCCAGCAAGAAGCAAGATTCTCTCATTTTTCTCTCACGAGAGATCTGCCAATGCACAGCTCAACGATTCTCAGCAATCTCTCAACTCCCTTTTCTAAAGCGAAATTAGTACTATCAAGCATCAACATAGGCTGATGTGATTAGACCAGAAAGGGATTACAAAATTGGCCACTCCAAACATGCTAACATGCTGCTAACCCTGATTTATGGACGGGTTTGTTGCTCCAGCAGACAAAGAAAATCTTTTGCTTAGCCACTAATAAAGAGAGTTTAGAGAGTAGGGTAGAGATTGCAAGCAACATTGGTGAATGAAGTGATTTGGTGAGGCTACGAGGGAGATGTGGTGGCAGACATGGGGGTTAGTCGCCGGAGGTGTGGCGTGTCGACACGTACGCAGTATGTCGAGAAGATCGGGCAGGATTGTGCAATCTGCGGGCAGATCACAGATCCGGTTCAATCTTCACCGTGTTTATTACTCTCTCTGTTTCTACATAGTTGATACCGTTGATTTTTTACACATGTTTAACCGTTCGTCTTATTCAAATTATTTGTGAAATATGTAAAACTATATGTATATATATAAGTATATTTAACAATGAATCAAATGATAGAAAAAAATTAATAATTACTTAAATTTTTTGAATAAGGCGAATGTTCAAACATATTTAAAAAAATTAACGGCGTCAAATATTTAGAAACGGATGGAGTAATTTGGTAAATTTTATTATAGCACATGGTGAGTGGTGACTTCGCACGAAACCATTTTTAGGGAACACACTATAAAAATATGGTTATTTATCAGGAGACAATTGATTAAATTAATGGTAGGGGTACCACTTTTTTACATGACTTCACTAGATTGCTCATTCTTTCTCTTTATCTTCCTATCTTCTTCGTTATCTCTTCCCCTCTCTCCCTCATTTCTCTCTTCTCCAGCGAGTTTGTCTACATGTGGCTGGCTAGCGGCACTGCTTTCCCTCCACCTTGCAACCTCACGCACTGATCCTACTCGGATCCTCTCCTCCTCACTGATGCCTCTCCTGTCCTCGAGCGGTTGGTTGATCGATCGATCAGCACGGTTCTTCGCCAGCCATGACGGCGGCGGCGATGGCGCCCTCACCTCCGAAGCCGGTGTCCCCGAGGCAGATCAGCCTGGGGGACCTCAGGGCGGTGTCCATGCTCGGCCGAAGCGTCAAGGGCGTCGTATTCCACGTTGTGCCCACCATGGCGGGGGAGGTGGAAGGGGTTGTTTCCTCATCCATGGCACTCAAGGCGATCTCGCGGGAGACGGAGCAACACAAGAAGATGGGGAGCGGCGGCGAGGACAGGCACCGGCGGATCTGGTTCGAGTGGGATGTGCTCATGTCGCTGAGCCACCCGCTGCTCCCTTCACTCCGCGGTGTCCTCGCCACCGATGTCGTTGTCGGGTTGGTCATCGACCGCTACGGCGGAAGAGACCTCAACTCGCTCTGACGCCGCCAGACCAAGAAGATGGCTTCAGGCCAAGCTGGTGGCGGCTAAGAACCGCCACGCCACAACGGTGGCCGAGATACCGCCGCTCAAGTCTACCGTCGAGCTGACGAATGACGCCATCGTCGCGAGGATGGAGGCGGGGAAGAAGCGGGCGGTGGTGGAGGTGCTCCACCGGCGCATTGACCGCGAGCGTGACGACCCGCGGCGGCTGCGGTCAGAGGTCGCACTGGAGCAGATGGTGCTCGTCCGGCACCAGGTCGCTCACGCGCTGCAGTTGGCCGAGCGCGCCGTGGCGGCGGAGACCCACGGGTTGGCTTTGGCGTGATCAGCGGTCGCCACTACCGAGCAGGCCGCGCGTGCTCTAGTCAGCGACGTCGATGTTGATGTCGACGCGGCCCACCACAATGTCGTGGCGGTCCCAACGCGGAGGCCGGAGGAGTTGCGCGGGGGCGTGGAGGGCGAGGAGAGAACGGCCGAGTTTCACGTCGAGGAGATTGTGGCCGCCATAAGGTTGGCCGAGGCGCACGCCAGGAAGCAGGAAGCTGCTGAGCAATGGCACGGCCGTGACCTTGAAGTCGTGATGTTCTGCAACAAAATTTGCATATTAATTTTTGTGGCTAAATCCTGCTCAATTTGAATATGCGAGCAAATAAAAGAAGATCAGAATTCCTGCTGAATCTGCAAAGAGCAAATCACAAAAATGTTCTACATAAAATATGTAGAGTGAGAGCAATTTTTCAAAAAAAAAGAAATACAAATCCAGCTCACTATGCGGTGAGCAAATCAAAAAAATGCTCAAAAAAAATGCAAACTTAGAGCAGATAGGGGAAAATAATCGCAAATCCCCCTCAATCTGCAGCGTGCGAATAACGAAATATTCTCAAATCTGCGGAGCAAATCAAAAAATTATAACGTGTAAAATCACAAATCCTCCTCAATCTGAATATTTTGTAAAATCACAAATCCCACTCAATCCGCAAAATAATATTTTGTAAAATCACAAATCCTAGTCAATCTGCAGCCAAAAATGATCTTCAAAAATCGAATGCAGCCAAAAATGATCTGAGTCTTCAGCAAAATAATATTTTGTAAAATCACAAATCCTAGTCAATCTGCAGCCAAAAATGATCTTCAAAAATCGAATATTAATTGTGTCTGAGCCCAGTTAATTCAAAAATCGAAAAATTATATGTCAATCTGCAGCCAAAAATGATCTTCAAAAATCGAATAATATTTTGTAAAATCACAAATCCTAGTCAATCTGCAGCCAAAAATGATCTTCAAAAATCTGCAGCCAAAAATGATCTTCAAAAATCGAAAAATTATGTGTCTGAGCCCAGGTTCGAACTGGGGACCTTTAGTGTGTGAGACTAACGTGATAACCAACTACACCACCCAGACCATGTGACTGAAAGTAAAAGATTATTGTAATTTTGTAAGAAAAGTTTTGTTGTTCTGTAAGTAACAAATCTATACAAAGTTTGGTTTGCACAAAATCTACAAAGTTTCATACTTTTTACTATTAGTGGCACGTCCCAATCCCAACACGAGAAAATCATTTTCTATGAAAAAAGAAGTCAATTTTACTCCCTCCAACTATTTGTCATGCCCTTAACCACCTAAACAATTCTCTCTCATTTTACACCATGAGCTAGTAAAAATAATTCATCTCATTGTCCTACAACAATTCTCTTTCTTTTTTTCTATTTCTACGTAGTGACTTCATCAATGTTAAGATATGCCAGCTCAGTCTTTGGAGATGCTTACAGGGGTAGAATGTGCGTGTACGCGTTCATAGAGGTGAGTATGCGTGTGGTGTATGGACGTTTGCGTTGTACTGTGTTTCAAAAAACAAGAATATATCATGTGCACATAGGTTTACGTGCACATTTCACGCAGAGTAAGCAGCATGTCAAAAAGATTGGGCAGGATTGCTATCCGTGAGCAAACCTTAAATCATGCTCAATATGAATATGAAAGAGAATTAGAAAAAAAAAAACGAAATCCTGCTCAATCTGCGGAGAGCAAATCACAAAAATGCTCAACACAAGAAAATGCAAATGGAGAGCAAATAAAAAAATCGCAAATCCTTCTCAATCTGCATCGAACAAATAAAAAAAACATCCAACAAAATTAGCAAGATACCAAAAAATTAACATCCAACAAAACTCTAAAAATAAAAATTTAGCAAGTCACCAGAAAATTAAGGCAAAATTTGCTACAGGACACTCACAGATTGTGGCATTTGCTGTGGACACCCAAAAATCGTGTATTTGCTTGTGGACACTGTAAAAATATGGTAATTAGCTGTTGGACACTTAAGGCATTATTCTATTATTTTCGGTGAAAACAGAGAGAGAAAGAGTGTTGAAAGTACCAAAATGCCCCTGACACTGTTCTTCTTTCTTTTCCCTTTCCTGCCTCTGACACGGGTCGCGTTCTTCGCTGTAGGTGGCGGCGCCGTGTGGGAGGTGCTGCTCACGCGGTGGGAGGGGCGGGACGACCAGGTGCTGCTGTACGGTCTCCTCCCAGCAGGGGTGGACCACGGCGAGCTCATGGGCAGAGCGCGGTTCTGCCTGTGCCCGACCGGCGACGACTAGGGCGCGGCCGCTGCGAGCCGCCGTGTCGTGGAGGCCATCACGGCGGGTTGCTGCGCTGTGGACATCGCCGTCTCCTTCCTGCGCCGCCGTCGCCGGTGAGCTCCAAGGCCAAAGCCTTCTTCCCCTCGCGCCACTGCCTCTCTCTCTCTTCCCCAATTCTGGCCAACGCCGTCCGTTGCCGCAGCGCCACCTCCACGCCATCACAGAGCCCCGTGCCGCGCCACCGGGTTAGCCTCCATCTCCTCTTGCTGACGCCGACGCTCGTCGCGGCAGCCATGCGCCGTCACCGACGAACGCCGCCGCGCCGCCGCCATGGCAGAGCACGGCCAGGGAGCCATGGCTACTCTGCCTCCTCCTCCTTCTCTCACATCTGGTTGCAGCCGGACCTGGTCGGCTTATACAAATGGCCCATGGGCAAAATTGTCTTTTATGAAAGTTTCTCTCACCGTTTCAGCCAGAAATAATAAAATAATGGGAGGAGTGTCCGCCAGCAAATTACCACATTTTTTCGGTGTCCAAGAGCAAATACATGATCTTTGGGTGTCTCACAGCAAAGACCACAATCTTTAAATGTCCTGTAGCAAATTTTTCCAAAAATTAACATCCATCAAAACTAAAAAAAAAACATCCAACAAAATTTAAAAAAAAGATAAAAAAATTGCAAGTCACAAAAAAAACATCCAACAAAACTTAAAATAAAATAAAAAATTACAATCCAACGAAACTTAAAATTAAAAAAATGTCCAACAAAACTAAAAAAAGTTAACAAGTCACAAAAAAATTAACATCCAACAAAACTTAAAAACTAAATTAACATCCAACAAAACTTAAAATAAAATATGCGTCCAACAAAACTTAAAAAGTTAAAATAAATAAAAACTAAATTAACATCCAACAAAACTTAAAATAAAATATGCGTCCAACAAAACTTAAAAAGTTAAAATAAAAATAATTTGTCTGAGCCCAGGTTCGAACTGGGGACCTTTAGTGTGTGAGACTAACGTGATAACCAACTACACCACCCAGACATTGTGATTGAAGAAAAAAATATTGATGTAATATTGTAATTACAAAGAATAATCTACCAACTGTAAAGAACGGAGAGAATACTGGAGCTCATATAATTTCTGTTGTTCTGTAAGAAACAAATCTGTAAAAAATTTTATTGGCTCAAAATGCATACAAATTTTCAGACTTTGATTACTCGTGAGTCGTGACACGTCCAACACGAGAAAATCGTTTTCGCTGATCAGTCCTGTCCAGGGCCCAAAAGTGCTGAACCAGCTGATTCGCCCATAGAGGCCCACAACGCCCACTACCAAATCAGAAAAATACACTACTCTGCTTCATAAATGGACTAATATCTTCTGATTATTAGGACTGCTCAGAAATAATCCCAGCATGCAATTTTCTGCATCAGCTTTTCACCTTTGGTAATCTTGTCTATAGAGGCAGATAAAGTTCCCTCTGATCTTTATGAACTGTTTTGTATGCCATTCAATGAGGTTCAACTTTTCAACCGAAGTACTCCACTTCCTACACTAATTCATATACGCACAAATATAAATTCAAACATCTACTACTTGGTAACATTTGACTAATAATTATGGGGAAATATCCTGGGAAAACCATCAAATAAGTGAAAACCTATGAAAAACATACCTAAAAAATCTCTAAATTAATAAAAGTATTAGTAGAGATATGTATAGGCATGAAATACTTTCATGTCAAATCTCAAGTCCAAACTCAACTTCCTCTGAGAGTTACTCCCAAATAAAGTTAAGTTTGAATTTAAGATTTGGTACAAATCATGCATATACTTCTCTCCAATAATTTTTCATGAATTTAGAAAACTTATAAATATAGTTTTCATGGGTTTTCACCATATATGTCCCCAATAATACCCTAACAAATTATAAGTTTACAGTTATAAAAGTGGTACAGTTCGATTCATATTTTAAACTCATTTCACACGATGTTAATTTCGTAATTGTTGATAAATGTCTCATGGAAAAGGAATATGGGCCCAGCGAAAAAAAGTAATATTGCAAAAATTGAAGCATGGCTGATGTGATACTGTAGGAGATGCACATTTGGAGTGGGCCAAGTCATTGGATTAGCAAAAGGGAAAGAGGGAAAGGTCATTGTTTCTATGAATATGATAGCAAGCAACTAAGCAAGTGCTCCAACAGTTGCTTTTCTTCTCACTTGTACAATCCTACTACATCACAACCCCCTGATGGTTCCTTCTCTTTTTCTACTTTTTTCTTGTTTCGTTTTGTGTTGGATTTCACCATCATAAGGGTGGGCAATGACAGGATTCCGCGCCGACACCCGCGTCCTATTGGCTGCCATGGAGACTTAAATTGGCAGCTCCAAGAACCCTAGTGGTGCAGACAAGACTTTTATCAGGAGGAAATTCTTGGAGCCCACAGGCATGCAGCTCTGAATTTATCATCTTGGGGACTCCATGAGTGTCATCTCAATTGGGGTCCATGCAGATTTTGCATTCATGAGAACAAATAGCACATTTGAGTTGATTTTGTGAAGATTTGACATGTTACACTTGTACTAATGCATAGGGGAAACAAAAAAACTCAATTTGCTCAGTACTCCATGTATATGAATATGATCTGGATATCAAGTGAATGCAAATATTGTGATCATGATCTCGGAGTAATTTAATTCACACATTTGAGTAGTTGTGCTAAGATAGCTGTAATCTGTATAAAAGGATCATCCAGGATTCAAATGCTAGAACAGTACGGAAACTATGGAAATCAACATAGGAGTAGAACATAAGAAGCTACTACCTCCCTCCTAAAATAAAACAACTTTTAGTTATAAATCTAAAAAAATGTACAGCTATATTCTAAGACGGAGGTAATAATAAATAGTATTAGTAAGACAACAAGGACATCATATAACTCAATATGAGAAGCAGCGAAAATTGGATCCATTTGTCCTGCTAAGGCTTGATGAATCACTGGGACCCATTTAGGTGTCCTACGTTTTCTCTGGACATATGATTCAAAAATATCGAGGTGCATTCAGTGAAGTTTCGGCTGTACTAATTACATCTTTCATGTCCTTGCTATGCTTCATTTCACCATATAAAAAGAACAGTGTATTCATCCTCGCAAAAAAACAAAAGAAGTAAAGAACGAGAGTAAAAGGAGTAACTTACAATTTGGACTAGGGGGTAGGAGTTCACAAATACAAGAGAAATAATCGGAGCTTCAGACACGGCAAAAATTTGGACTAGGGGGTGGGAGTTCACAAATACATCAGGCATAGTTACTTTATGTTTTTCAGATAACGTATCAAAGATTCAAAATTTATGTGATACTCCATACTCAACTTTGCCAAAAGGCACGTGCAAGATATAGTTCTCTGGCCCACAACAAAATAGTCTCAGTAGCAGAGCAATGATTTCTGAACTGCGGAAGCTGGTGAAAAAACAGCTTCTTTTGATGACTAGTGGCAGTGCATTGTGCAGCTTCTGTTCATTCTGTTCCTATTGCAGCAGCCAGTCTCTGCTTGTCTGAATGTGATTCACTGCAGCAATGTCTGCTTACAAGGACAAACAGGAGAAACAAAAGCAGCAGCCAAAAGGGAAAGAAGAAATTCAGACAACAGAGCCATTGAAATTCAATCACTATCACAGGTGCCTTTTTGTTACTAGCATGGTTGCATTTTTTTTTTGAAGGAAAAAAGAAAGAACATTTGTACACAAAGCACTGATTCTGATGGAAACCCAATCATTGTTTGGTACTTGAGCTACTGTAGCATGATTTAGATAAGTCATGCAATGGCAAAAAGGTGGACAGCAAATGTCAAGCGCTATTTTTCTCCCTAATCATGCTGAAGTTCATGAGTGTCTTGTTGGCTCACTTTGCATAGCAGCATCTCCATAAGATGTTCCAAAGTATCTTACTGCGAGATTGCACCATGTGGAAAGGTTGCAAAAACATAACAAGGGCACCTTTCAGGATCAGAAATGGACACAGAAAGATGCAACTATACTCAATGAGGAAAAAAAAAGATTAACTAGTCATGAACATCTAAACTTTGCCACACAAAGATAGTTTGATAGCAACATGCACATTTCATTCATGCAGAGCTGAACCCGACTAAATATTTCCAACATTATTAGGTTATCAAAATGCTAAAGTTTCAGAGATACCTAGCTGCTATCTGGGGTGCACTTCTTAGGACTGGATATAATTCCAACGGTTTCAAGTACATTGTCCAAGAAGAGCACATACTACCGCTAGTAGTATCATCCGTTGCCTGAAATCATGTGGCAGGGAGCGCCTCCGTAATCTTCATCGCCTTCGGTTTGTTCTCTCCCTTGATGTCAAGCAAGAACTTCACCACAAGCCTCATCGACGGGCGGTTGTTTGGGAGGTTCTTAACGCAGAGCAGCGCAATCCTCAGAACTCTACACATCTCATCCTTGAAATGTTCAGCAATCTTCTCATCTAGCACTGACTCTGCCCCATTCTGCTCCACATTGGTGGCTGCCCATGCCACCAGGTCCTTGTCACCAATATCGGATGACATGGGACTCTTTCCAGTAACAAGTTCCAGCATGACCACACCAAAGCTATATACATCGCTCTTCTCAGTTACACGTATAGTGTAGGCATACTCTGCGATACAAAACAGACAAACACACATAAGAAACTAGGAAGAAATTACGGTGACTTATGACAATTTTTAGCCAATTACAACAACCCACAAGTACAAAAAGAAATCCTAATCAGAACATATGGACCAAAAAAGACTGTCTGAACTGATCATCAAATCAATCTCAAAAGCTACATTCATATATACTCTAATTAGGAACACTTCTCAGAAACAAATTAGGAACACTTCTCAGAAACAAATTAGGCATAAGGAACTCACCAGGAGCAATGTATCCACAAGAACCAGCAATGACAGACATGGTGGCCGGCCCATCACCAATAGACTTCGCGACGCCAAAATCTGCTATCTTGGCACGAAAATCAGCATCAAGCAGAATGTTGTTTGACTTCACATCTCGGTGGATGATCGCGGGAACAAAGTCATGGTGCAAGTAGCTGAGCCCCTCAGCAGCATCGAGTGCGATGTTGTACCTCGCAGGCCAATCCAAGATGCCAGCTTTGGCACTGTGGAGAAAGTCTCCCAGGCTGCCATTAGGCATGAACTCATAGACAAGCAACCGGCATGCCTCGTTCGTAAGACAGCAGAAGAGCTTGACAATGTTCTTGTGCCTAACTTTGCTCAATGTTTCCACCTCGGCCTCAAAGCTGTCGATCTTCTTGCTCGCCACCGTGCTACTTGCCCAAAGCTTCTTCACAGCCAAGGTATCACTCCTAGGCCTGACAACAGCCTTGTACACCATCCCTGATGAACCCTTGCCAATCAAATTGTTCTCAGTCAGGCTATTCACAATGTCCCTCTCATTGAACTCCACCTTGTGGAAGGATGTGAGTACCCACTCTGAATTCTCGCTGTCAACTTCGATGGCGCGCTTATTGTAGCTCCTATACTTGTAAATGAACCAGGCAACACTCGTGAGTAGAATGCCAGCAGCAGCTGTGAGGATGGCTACAGCCATCTGGATTCGGGCACGCCGGTTGGAATCAGGATCACCATTCCTTGAACATAGCCCATAGCACAGGCCAGGATTACCCAAGAAGCACGGTCGGAATTGATCAGTGTCGAATAAGATTGGAAGATGCCCAGTGAGCTTGTTATAGGACAGGTTAAGAACACCCAGCAGTTTCAGATCCTGCAATTGTGCAGGCACCTGACCAGAAAGCTCATTGTTCGACAAATCAAGCGTGCTCATCTTATCCATACCCCCAAGCTCTTCAGGTATACTACCACTGAGGTGGTTGTCTGAAAGATTCAACAATGTCAAATTCTTCAGTTCTCCGATGCTGCGCGGGATCTCTCCAGAAAGGGAATTGTTGCTCAAATCAAGCAGGAAAAGCACCGAAAGAGATGCGAGTGACGGCGGCACTGTCCCGGTGAAGCTGTTGTCCGAAGCCGACAGCACCACCAGCTGGGTTAAATTCCCCAATTCAGCAGGAAGAACACCGGTGAATCGATTGTTATCAATGATGAGGTTGGACAGGTTCGCGGCACGGCCAATGGCGGCGCCGACATTGCCAGAGAACGCATTGCCACGGAGCTCGAGCAGGTAGACATGGGGCAATCCCCAGAATTCCGGCGGCACCGGGCCGGAGAGCCGATTGCAGGGCAGCCTCACCCTCATCAGCGACCTGCATTTCCCCAGCTCGTCGGGAATGGCGCCGTCGAACATGTTGTTCAGCAGCAGGAGCTGGCTCAGCTTCCCGCCGGCGCAGAGCGTCGCCGGAATCCGGCCGGACATGCGGTTGTCCGAGACGTCCAGCGACTGGAGCGGGCAGTTCTTCCCGAACTCCGGCGGGAACGGCCCTTCGATCTGGTTGGCGAAGATCATCAGCTCGGTCAGCCTCGCCGCCGCCGCGAGCGTCGCCGGCAACCGCCCGGTCAGGTTGTTCTGATACATGTGCACGCTCTCCAGGCTCGGCGCGGCGAACATGTCCTCCGGTATCTCGCCGGAGATGTGGTTCATCGAGATGTCCAGTTGCTGGAGCTTCTTGAGGCCGCCCAACCCCGCCGGAATCCTGCCGGAGAGCTGGTTGGAGAAGAGCTCTATCTGGACCAAAGAACTCAAGTTCACGATGCTCGGTGGTATCTCACCGGTGAGGTTGTTGCTCGAGAGGTCCAGATCGACGAGGTTGGTCAGCTTCCCGACGGAAGGAGGGATGCTACCGGTGAGGGAGCAGTTGGCGAGGAAAAGCACGCGGAGCGCGGCGAGGTCGCCGAGGTTGTCCGGCAATGGCGACGGGGAGAACGAGTTGTAGGCGAGCAGCAGCTCCTGGAGCGCGGTTACGTTGGCGAGGAACCCCGGGAACGCGCCGGAGACGAGGTTCTGTATCAGGTTGAGCACCGCCAGCGACGGGAACCCGCCGCCGTAGGCCGCCGGGAGCTCGCCGGAGAAGTTGTTCGACGCGAGGTTGAGCGTCTCGAGCGCCTGGAGCCCCGCGAGGCAGGCGGGAAGCGGGCCCGTGAGGTCGTTCGACGACATGTCGAGGTGCCGCAGCGACCGCAGCGAGCAGAGCGCGACGGGGAACCCCCCGGCGAGGTACAGACCGCCGAGGTAGAGCCCCGCGACGACGCCGTCGGAGACGGCAGCGTTCCCGGCCGCGGCGTCGCACGCCACGTGCGGCCAGCGGCAGAGGTCGTCGCCGCGCCATGCCGAGAGCGCGGCGGTCGGGTCCGTGAGCGCGGCCCTGGCGGCGAGGAGCGCGCCCGCGTCGCCGGACGCGGCGCCGCCGGTGCCCGCGCGGACGCCCGGCAGGAGGAGGCCGGCGAACACGACGGCGAGGTGGAGCAACCGCCGGTGGAGCGGCGCCATGGTGGAGGTGGTGGAGGTAGAGTGGGGAGCGTGGGTGGGAGGAGGAGAGGTTTAAAGGGAGGGAAGGAAGTTGCATAGGAGGATTGGAAGCATCTCCTCCTGGGGTGGTTTTGTCTTTTAGATAGACGAACACATTGAAAGCGATGAGGGTTGGGGATTTTGGCTACAGCTACCAAGGGAAGTGTCCACACAGGGAGTATTATCACTACGAGATACGCTTGGATGTGGTGGTCCGCATCGAGGGGAGGCTGGATATAGCGAGAGGTTGTACGGATCATGTAGCAAGTTTGGAAGATATCTATGTGGTGAACGTGGCAATATATAGAATATGCTGCTTTTTCCGTACATGTAAAGTCAATGCGCTTGGCTGACGTATGAGAAACGTATCCGGACGTTGAGTTACAGTTAGATGTTGGTAATGGTACGCTGGCGTTGGAAGAAAGCAATTGTTCCGATTTTTCTATGTTGACAAGATGATTGTGGCTTTGGCTTTCCCAAATAAAATATATTATTTTAGTTGCTTCAAATAGAATTAGAAAAAAAACTGCAAAAATATCTTACGTTACAAAAGCGTCGATAAGATAACGTCGGATAAAAAATTATTCAATTTTGTCCATCTTTTCTTAAAGAGGAGGGCTATATTTATCTCAATAATTTATGATGTTCTTGCTATACCGATTGCCATTAAAATAGTATAACAGCTAAAAGGTATCCGTATTTCAAGTATGAGATTATTCCTCGGCATTGTAAGAGCACATTTAGTTAGCAAACTTTAATAGAACCTTTGGATGTGGCATACGATTGAGTCATGATTTTATTTTCAAGAAAAAAAAAGCAAGAATATATCATCTGGGAACCTCACCGGTTCCAAATTAAATAAGTATGAAAAACAAACCGTTCAAGATTTATCTCCTGTCTCTACTCTATCAATACATTCATATTCCTCTAAAAAAAATGCATTCATATTTTTTTTCATCAGTTTTGGTAGTGGTGGTGGCCCTTGTGTGCAAAAAGAAATGTGCTTTGCTGGGGTTCGTCTCCTCTGCTATTAGGGAGTACTAGTAGCGTTTTACAGTGAAAAGTACCGTAATTATTTTATGGGATTACTGTAGCAACTACTCTCCTGCATTCATTCAAATTTGATCCAACGGCTACAAATAGCTATTGACATGGATCAGAGTATGGAGTTCTCTACCATTCCGGTTGGGATGGCAGAGGATACTATCCCACTTTGCTGTGGAGTACACGGTCCCGTGTGGACGCAGCGATATTTGCGGTTGCTTAATTAAGTCAGTGTTTGGGCCTGGGAAATGCGGGAAGCGTGGTTTGGTTGGGCCTCGTTTTCCAGCGTTAAACAGTAACAGCAACGCCTCGTCTTCTTCTTCCTCTCGCCTGCAGTCGCACGCGCCCAGAGGCGCCATGCACGCCGGCCGCAAGCAAGGGACCACGTACGTACTGATCACTCTTTCTCTGCATGCAGCTATAGCCAGCTTCAAGCCTTGATCGGTCTGCTACGATCTGGACGACGCGCTCGCTCAGCTGGATGGATGGATGCATCAGCGTTTCGCGCGCGTGGCCTTCCTGCTCCAGGTGATTCTTTTGTTGCTTGCGCTGTGCCGTTTCTTAATTTGTCTTGCACGCGCGGCTCGATCCCCTCCCTTTCTATCTCTGCCTTGGCCATCTCTGCCACTGAATTGAGAAGTGATGCAGGGATGGATGGGTTGGAACTGGGAGGAAGACGACGACGACGACGGCTCAAGCTGTTGGTTGTAGATGGGGGGCGTTTTGGAGGATTGAGATCTTCTGTAGCCGTCGACTTCACCATGCCATTATCACTGATATGTGAGCCCGATAATATATCGGGCCTACATGTCAGTGGCAAAGGTACGGTGCTAGATAATCCTGATCCGTTTTTGGATGGTTGTGCAGCAGCGAGGGTGCGGGAGGAGGCGCCCGCCCCGGCCGCCGCCGCGCGCGCGGCGTGAGCGTGGCTTTCCGCGCGGCAACTGTGGCTACGGGAGTGGCTGATCCTGGCCGGTGGGCTGGAAAAGCTAGCTAGCTCGTTGTTTGTGTGTTGTGTACTTGTGTGCGGGAAGGTTGTGACAGATGGACCGCATGCCACACGCGCACGGCGCGCTAGCGCTACTCTCCTCCTCCCTGCATGCTCCTTATATGGTGGTTTCCGGAGCTGTTTGGCTTCGTTGTTCGTATGCTCTTAGAGCTAGAGCTGGTACAATAACATACTATTAGCCAAATGTAACATATTTTAATGAGATAAAAGATAAGAAAGAAGAATAGCGGACTACAGATCTGTAGCCAGCTGCAGCGTGAACTCCAAGACGCAATGTGTGTATGACATGTATGGCCATATATCTATCTATTATATTATTAAAGGAATAGAAAAAGGAGCCTCCACGTTCGCTCTCATAGCCTAGAAATTCTCACATTAATCGGAGAAAAAGAAAAGCAGAGTCCATATAGAAATACAATTTAGAAATAGCTGAAATTCGAAATTAAAAAATAAGGAATATTAGAAGAAGAGACTAGAGTCCATATAGAAATACAATTTAGAAATAACTGAAATTCGGAATTAAAAAATAAGGAATATTAGAAGGGGAGACTAGAGTCCATATAGAAATACAATTAGGAAATAACTGAAATTCGCAATTAAAAAATAAGGAATATTAGAAGAGGAGACTAGAGTCCATATAGAAATACAATTAGGAAATAACTGAAATTCGGAATTAAAAATAAGGAATATTAGAAGTAGAGTATAGAGTCCATATAGAAATACAATTAGGAAATAACTGAAATTCAGAATTAAAAATAAGGAATATTAGAAGTAGAGTATAGAGTCCATGTAGAAATATAATTAGTAAATAATATAAATTCGGAATTAAAAATAAAGAATATTAGAAGTAGGGTATAGAGTCCATATAGAAATACAATTAAGAAAAAAAAATAGAAATTTGGAATTAAAAAATAAGGAATATTAGAAGTAGAGTATAGAGTCCATATAGGAATTTAAAACTAACTAAAATTTGGAATAAACATAATAAAATTAAAAGTAGAGTCTAGAGTCTAGAGTCTAGGGTCTAGAGTCTAGATTCAGAGTTAAAAATAAAGAAATATTGAAAGACGAGTTTAGAGTCCATATAGGAATATAATTTACAAATACTAAAATTTGATATTAAAAATAATTAATAACTAACACGTATATATAATAAAATATAAATATTACACATTAGTAGTTTCGTAAAGTTAGTATAAAATTTAAAATTAGAATATCATTTTTAATATATTTGAATAATACATTGAGAAAACATATATGCTATTACATGAGAAAAAAAATATAATGATGCTAGCCGCGCAATCTGCGTGGGCCACCGTGCTAGTTAATAGTATAGTAAGCAACTATTATATAAATTGGCTATTAAATTGACTATAGATGAATTGGAGCTATTAGTGGGCTATACTATTAAACTTGCTCTTACATGACACGGAAAAAGATTTTTTTGAAAAAAAAAAGCAATTAGCGTACGATTAATATAATATGGAGTAATTTAGTACAAATAAGTTAAAAAGAATCGTTTTTACATATCATAATAAAACGAACGAATGGAGTTAGCTGCACCAGTGATATATGCCAAGCTATTTAGCTGTCCCCTAGCTTGGTGTGGCTAGGCTAGTAATCCGTCCGTCTTATTTTAAGTGTAAAGATTTTTCTATATCAAATATTTGACCGTTCGTCTTATTTAATTTTTTTTAAAAAAATTTCACACATAAAAATATTATAAAATTTCAAATAAGACCGACTGTCAAACGTTGGGAACAGAAACTCACAAATGCACCTAAAATGGGACGTATGGATACGTGCAGTAACCTTTTCTGGTTTTGAAACGATAGTATATTTCATGATTACCATACGGTTTTCACGATAACCGCACGGTTACCACAGTAACCACGAAATCAGGAGTGACGATGACGATAATCACCCTAAACGGTTTGGTAAAGTATTGAGAGTTGTGCAGTATAGGAGACTAGTTACTAGTATAGTTGTACAGTCATACAAAGCTATGCACTCTAGCTTGTTATAAATGATTTGCTGGTCATTTCTGAACCTTTTGCAGAGTTTGGCAACGAATAGATTTCTTAGGCATTGTTTAGTTCCCACGCAAAAAACTTTCACGATATCACATTAAATATTTAGACACATGTATGGAGTATTAAATATAGAAAAAAAACTAATTACACAGATTGCGTGTAAAATTGTGAGACGAATATTTTAAGCCTAATTGCTACATGATTTGACAATGTGGTGCTACAGTAAACATTTGCTAATAACAGATTAATTAGGCTTAATAAATTCGTCTCACAGTTTATAGGCGGAATATGTAATTTGTTTTGTTATTAGTCTACGTTTAATACTACTAATGTGTGTCCGTATATCCGATGTGACACGCCAAAACTTTTTACCCCTGAATCTAAACACAGCCTTATTTTGAGCTATAGGTTGTGAAGTTCTACGCTCGATGAAAACCAATAAGGGAAAGCACCCATGCAACACAATTGAGCATTTCCTACTACTTTCTACCCCTTCGTCTAAAAAAACAACCAACAATCCTACCTAAGAAACTGACACACTAGGATTTTTTTTTATAGATTAGCAGTAAGTAGTAAGATTTTTCTTAGGATTCAAGTTTGACAGATGCCACCCTAATTTTCACTGGCTTTCCTGTTTGTTTTTCAAAATCCGTGTTCTGGCATACAGATACGGTAGGCCGAAAATTGCTAAGAAACGGCCAAGAAAATTCAGTTAAAGTTGCAAGGCAGTTTCTGAATGATCGGTAGTATAGCTCTGTTCAAAATGATCTGTTGCTAGCTGCCTGCTGCATGTAACGTGTACTCCTACGAACGAGCTTAGACTGCAGCAGCAGCAGCATCTACTACAGTGCATAAGGCACATGTACCATGCAGTACCCGGGGTAGTTTGACGCTAGCCATGAAAATTTACGT